TTTTTTTTCATTTTTTTTCGATCTTTTTTATCTTTCGAGACAAATTTTTTTTTCTTTCTTGCTTCTATGCACAGCAATGATCTACACAAGTGTACAAATACAATATAGTTCACCATTATAGACGACGAGAGAGCATCTACATAATTGTATAACACGACCTGACATTGCAATAAATGTGTATTTCTTGCAAAATGGAACAATGTTGTGACTCGTATTCTTATTTTTCTGAGGGAGTGATTGGGAATAAAGTCCGTTGAATTCAACAAGATGAATCCGAACGATCGGTAAGCAGCGGGAGATAGCGTTCTCTTAACTCAGAGGACTAATATTCAAATCGAAGAAAATAATAAGTTGGTAAAATAAGGATTAACCCGAGAAGGAAATAAACTAGAATACTATTATTAAATTATTGTAAGGATTTACAGACAAAGTTGTCAAAAGATAAAATAACTAACTTGCAGCAACTTTTAAAAAAAATTACGCAGTAGCAACTCTTGTAATAACAATACAGGATGGAATAATTATACATTATAGATTTCTGCAAAAATCTCTGTGATCCGAATTAATTCGGTAGAGACTAATCACGGTATATAGATTAATCGATTAATAGTAATTGTAGCGTTAAAGTGGATCCGAAACAGGCGGAGATCCGTCGAGTCGCAATGTGGTCGAGGTTTCTTCTTGGAATAGCGATATCCTGACAAGTTCCTGATCCTGGTAATTCCACAGTTCCACCGACGACCACGACGGCAGCTCCTCCTCCTAGTTGCGATTACAAATCGCCCTGCTTCCCGGGAGCTGACTGCCGTAACACACCACGTGGACCACAGTGCGGAGCATGCCCGCCGGATTACACCGGCGATGGATATCGTTGCATGAAAATTAGTTGCGCGCACAACCCTTGCTTTCACGGTGTCCGTTGCTACGACCGCGCGGATGGATATAGGTACGGGTAGAAAAAAATTATTTCATTTCATAGTTGTAATGACAGTTCCCGGCGGTTTTGTTAGCATGTACACACACATGTACGTGTCACTGATCCTAGAGACAGTGTGTACTACCGGACTTAAGGGGAAAAATGTAGAATGTTTGTTAAAACAGTAACGGGGCCAAAGACAAGATACGCGTGCTGCACATGCATATAGACTGTAACGAATGAAATAAAAATCTTTCAGCTGTGGAAAATGTCCCAACGGTTATATAGGTGATGGTAAATACTGTGAACGACGCAGAAATAATTGCGAGCCTCATCCCTGTTACCCGGAAGTACAATGCGAACCAATTCTTTATCCACCGTACTTTAGGTAATGAAATAGAAATATCAAACTCATCCAGTCAATTAGACTTTATATTACACATACGTGTCTTGATGATTTTTAGATGCGGTTCTTGCCCAAGCGGGTTTATCGGTAACGGTTCTACGTGTGTTGATGTGAACGAATGCGAGTTGGCACAACCCTGCCATCCGGCAGTTCGATGCATCAACCTTCGTCCAGGATTTAGATGCGACACTTGCCCGCCCGGATATACCGGGACGATAATCGAAGGAATCGGTTTGGAGATCGCACAGGCTCGCAAGCAAGTTTGCCAGGACATAAATGAATGCGACAGTAACAATGGTGGATGCGATCCATATATGGAATGCATCAATACGGAGGTAATTTACTGGCCGATTTCATTTCAAACACAGCCTATACCTTATACATATTTTGCTAAATTATACTTTCACATCTCACTAATGCTTGTTATCGCGACAATTATTCGTTTTAGGGTTCGTACAGATGTGGTGCTTGCAGAGCAGGCTTTGTGGGCAACCAAACAGTTGGCTGTCATCCTAGTCATAGTGTCTGCCCAGATTTAGTAACTATGTGCGATGTAAACGCTGAGTGTATCTGCATCGATACGAACGAGTACTCGTGCAAGGTAAGAAGATAAATCCTAAATGCTCTTTTCTAAAAGTTCTAGAGCAAACATATGGATTATATATGGTGAAATTCGGAATATTTATATCAAAAGACACGCGTTTTTAGTGTCGCGTTGGGTGGGCAGGAAATGGACTGACCTGTGGTCTTGACAGAGACAGCGATGGTATTCCTGACAGAAGCCTGCAATGTCACGATCGACGCTGTCGTATGGACAACTGTCCGTTAATACCAAACAGCGGCCAAGAGGACGCGGACAGAGACGGTTTAGGCGATGCCTGTGATCCAGACGCTGATAACGATGGCGTTTTGAACTCTTCTGACAACTGTCCTTTAATTTCGAATCCTGGCCAAGAGGACACCGATCGTGACGGTCCTGATTCCATCGGCGACGTTTGCGACAATTGTCCTCTAGTGAGAAACCCGAAGCAGGAAGATACCGACGACGATGGCATCGGTGATGCTTGCGACATCGACATCGACAACGACGGTAACGTTCATTTGGACTGGGAAAATGTGCCTCAGATAAACTCGATCAATTTTAAAGAAGATTCTGCTGAAGAGAGAATGCTGTTCCTTGTAGTTTTTGCAATTGACGACAATTTAAATTTTGTAGGTATTTTTAACAACGAAGACAACTGTCCAAGAAGGAAGAATCCAAATCAAGATGATCAAGATATGGACGGTATTGGCGACGCTTGTGACAATTGTCCTTACAGTTATAACGAGGACCAATCGGACCAAGACGGAGATGGGGTAGGTGATGCTTGCGACAACGACAACGACAGGGACAGAGACGGCGTGCAAGACGATAGAGACAATTGTCCTGATATCGCGAATCCAGGACAAAATGACGATGACCACGATGGCAGAGGGAACGAATGCGACGACGATATAGACAATGATGGTCTGCCCAATTCGATTGACAATTGTCCATACGTTTATAATCCAGATCAACGTCACACTCATCGTAAGTGAAGTGCCATCGAAACGATAGGGACTATCGTGTAAAGAATCTAAAAACAAGTTACACACATCATTTCAGATCAATATGTTGGTGACGCTTGCTGGAACGACAATGATAACGACACTGTGAAGAACACACTTGACAATTGTCCCAACAATAGTTTGATTTGGACGACAGATTTTAGAAAGTATACTACGATTGCTCTAGACCCTGTTGGTACTGCCCAGGAAGATCCTGTTTGGGTAATACACAACGAAGGCGCTGAGATCCAGCAGCTCGTGAACAGTGACCCCGGGATTGCCATTGGTAATTTATTTACTAATTCATGTTAACCCTTTCGGTACGAGCGCCGGATATATCCGGCATCCATCAGATGACCTGTGTGTATATATACTTATATAATAAATTCCAGTCTTACTTGTATAATTAACAGAATTTAATATAAATGTCTTTTAATATTAAAACTAACGACACTTTGTTAGAAGA